GGGTTGTCACATGGAAAGATATAATAAAATATTTACAAAATGTGAGGTGTGTTCTGTAATAATGCTTATAATTGAAACATGACAGAGTTTGATGTATAAATGGTTTAAACATTCTTAGGGATGGAATCCTATCCAGATTTACCAGGAGGAAATTCTGTTGTACTTACTGAGATTTACTTCTGTGTAAAGGTGGATAAGATCAGAATATACTTCTCTGTTGGATCATGGCTACTATATGGAGAATCAAGGCAGAAGAGAAAGTGGCAGCAATCTCAAAGAACTGGAAGAGAGCCAGAAATGCTGATTGTTATATTTTGATATGGTTTATACATACCTGTCTATAAGAAAACTGAAACAACTCTTCTAATGAAGTTGATCAAGTGAGGGAGGATCCTAAGTTTTATCTTGATGAATTAGGCAGCTGTTAGTCTTGCATTGCTTTCATGGGGTGTATTGCATGAAGTTCCTAGACATCACTCAGTGTTATAGGTAGAACTGGAAATCATAGCTCTAGGAAAGACAGATGCAGTGCCAAAATGCTGGTATGTTGTGGCTTAGAGCTCTTACTTCCAGTAGTTTACTATTAAGATGGACATTTCAGCCTTTAGAATGGAGAAAAAACTGTAGGAAACTGGGCAAATTACTACATGATTGGTGGTTAGGGACGCAGAAGTGTCCGTCCATCTGGCAAAGCTTGAGCAAGCTGGATTTCACCCTTGTGCCTGAGGCCCTGCACTCCACTCTAACCTAGGTAAGGTAAGCCTGTGTTGCCTATTTTGACTAGCACTGGTTTACCAAGGCCTTTCCTAGCATCACCATCATCATCATCTGACCTTTGTCCTCTTGATTTTATGATGCCTTTTTCTTTGGAGTGGCTTGACCTGGGCTTTCATGTGTGCAAGTATGTGTACCACGCTATGATTTGCGTCCTTTGTGTTACAGAGTGCATCCAAATTGCTTAGATGCTATTTTGTGCAGCTCTCATACAGGGAACTTGTTGTATCTTTTTGGATGCATAGCAGAATTCTCAAATTCTAACAAAGACCCACCTTTTAAATTTATTATGTTTATCGCCCATCTTTCCTCCAGCAAGGAACCCAAAGTGGCTTATATAATCCCCCTCCCCTTTTTCATTTTATCCTCAGAACAGTCCCATGAGGTAGGTTAGTCTGAAAGTGAGCAACTAGAGTCACATAGTGAGCTTCATCATCATCATCATCGCATTGCATTTATATCCCACCTTTATTCTTTTTGTGAAGAACTCAGGACAGCTTATACAGCTCCATTTAATCCTCATGACCCCAACGCTCTGAGCTAGGTTAGTGTGCATGTCTGTAATGGGCCCAAAGTCACTCAGTGAGTGTCAGGGCTGAGTGAGTACTAGAACCTGGATTTTCTGAGACCACACTCCAATACTTTGACCACTGTGCTACACTGGCTCTCTTATAAGGGTAAGGTAAGTGAGCCACCTCAGGCATCGTTCAAGGTAGTGGCAGCAGCAAAAACACCTGATGCATGGAGCACCATCAACAACATTTTGCTGTGCAAACCCTTTGAAATTAATGGGAGCTAATCAAAGTCTGGGCCCAATTTAAGGTGCTGGTGATGACCTATAAAGCCCTAAATGGCTTAGGACCTGGATGTCTGAAGGAGTGGCTCCTTCCCTATGTGCCTACCCGCCCGGTAAGATTGTTTTATTTTTTTTTATTTTGATTTATTTTTCGATTTATATCCTGCCTTTTTCCTACAAAGGGCTCAAGGCAGCTTACATCTCCTCCTCCATCTTGTCCCCACAACAACAACCCTGTGAGGTAGGTTGGGCTGAGAGTCTGTGACTGGCCCAAAGTCACCCAGTCTTGTCTTGTCTGAGTCCCAGTCCCATGTTCTTAACCACTACACCACACTGGCTCTCGATCTGGGGCAGAGGTCCTTTGGGAGCCCTCCTTGAAGGGAGATTAGGAGGGTGGCTACCTGGAGAAGGGCCTTTGCTGCAGTGGCGCTCTGGCTATCGAATGTGCTCCCCAGAGAGGTTCACCTGGTGCCGACACCCTATTCCTTTTGGTGCCAGGCTAAAACCTTTATATTTTCCATAATTTTAATGTTTGATTAGGTTTTAATGTGGGTTTTATCTTACTGGAATTATTTGGATGCTGTGCTTCGTTTCATTTTATGCTGCTTTTACTGTAAGACCACCCTGAGACGCTAGTAGTTGGGCAGTATACAACAGCTTTAAATAAATGAACAAATAAATAGATGCATGATGACAGAGGGAAATGCCACTTGCATTTTTAGTGTTAGGCATCAAAATACCTTGGCCCATTCCTGAGCACACACACTGAGTGGGTGTGGATGGAGAAACGAACAGACTGAATCTTCCAAGGGTAACTAAACAAAGTTGTATCTTTGCTGGCAAATCTCATTATTGTCCCAGGCATGGGAGGTAGATAAATGAGCGAGGACTGGGAAATTCCGTGTGGCTTCATTACCCCAGTACGGTCATTTCATTGCACTACTATACTCCCAATGTCACATGAATACTTTGAAATAATTGGGTGGGCAATTTAGCACAGCCAGAGGTGCACATTTGTTAGAAAAGAGGGGATTGCCAGTAGCCTTGGAGGTAAAGATTTCTTGCCTCTGCAGTCTCTGACCCATACTTGTCCAGACTTCGTTTTGAAAGTTTTGTGCTAAGATTTCACAACTTCTTAAATAGATTGCTTCATTATTCAGGCACACTTCTATTTCGAGTGGTATTAGTGATGTATTTTTTCCATTCTAGATTAGTTTTTTTTTTTTAATTTGCAGATCACAGTTCTTCTGGATTGTTCTCTGGTTTACCACAGTTTCTTACCTTAAATCCATCAGATGCATGAATGTCTTCCATAAAAGCATCTGCACTCAGATAAAGCCATGCCTTGTACTCCAGCCAAAAGAAAGGGTTGTTACCAGTGTAATTTCAGAATTTCATAAACGTTATTTTTCCCCAATAAAAAATAACCATAATGCATTGCAACTTTGTAAATATTGTTCTTTCAACAAGTGGTAAGCACAATTTTCATAAAAGCAATTATTGTTTAAAATATCGGTCAGATTCATTTTGACCTGCCTGAAATAAATTAGGGTTAAAGATGCAACATTTTTTCAGATAGTTGTACCTAGAATGGTTTATGATAAATATTGAAAAATGAAGTCGATTCCAAGAATGAGGAGATAATATGTAAAATTAGGGGTATACTTTTTTGGGGTAGTTGACATGTGCCAGGTGGGCAAATCAAGTTAATACGGAATACAAATGGAATCAGTTTGAAGAGAACTGGGAATGATTTAACAGCATTGGAATAATATGCAGAACATGCTTAGCAGTAAACCCTTTTCTTTGTTGTGACAAATATTTTCTCCTGGAGTGTGTAGATACGTTTGATTACATATAGAAAGTAATCTTAACAGCAAATTAGGTCACTGGTTCATCTATTACAGTAAGCAGGATTAGACCTGGTTGAAGTCTGGATGGGTGACTTAAATGTTGTGAACCTCCCAGAGAGCTTTGGCTGCAGACAGTATAAAATATAATGTAGTAGTAGTAATAATAATTTTGGTGACACGGATTGGCAGCACAGCAACTTTCCAGGGTTTCAGGGACTTTATATGCTAAGCTTGTTCCTTGTTTCCCTCCTCCAATATTAGTTTCTAACTTCCATGTTGAGGCTATTTGTTTATTAGAACCAACCAAAGTGTCACAAAATAGTAAGCAAACTTTTGAGTTCCCCAGAATTCTTCATCAGGCTGGATGTTGTGCCAAGTTGAGAAGAAGGGAGAAAACTGGCTTGAATTAGATACAATGCCTATATTTTGTCAGAGTCTTGAGATAAATATATTGGAGGAGATAGCAGACTTAATTGGATTAGGCTTTATGAGGTGCAAGGCAAGTTTTAGGTTGTATATAGAACTGCTGGGACAAAGCAATACACGAGGACAAAATCCCTCGTTTAATAATATAACCCAGAAGTTACTTGGATCTCTCCAGCCTTATATGCAACACATGGATTTCTTGTTTGGGAGGTGGGGGGAATGGAAACAAGGAAACATGACAGCTTTAATATTAGCAAAGCTGGGGATTAATTTTAGGTTGTATTCCAGATTTTAAAAAGGCAGTAGAAGTAAAATTAGGTAGCGTTAGATAAGTGACTGGAAGAATATTTAAACACTTACAAAGTACTCCCCCTTTTCAGACGGAAGAAAAGAATCTTCCTTCAGTGTTAGGATCAGATTAATTTGTCACTCTTAGTATGCTTAACTTTATATTTGTTAAACAGGCTGAGCTGTGGACCAGGAAGCTCCTAGTTCATATTTGTTCTCTGTCATGGGATGCTTCCAGATAAGGCTATTATGGTACAATCACCCTGTCTTGTTCATAGAATTTTATGGGAGCCTTGATGTAGTCACCTTCAGTGTGTAGTTCTTCTGTGAGTACTCTTTTTTACTGGTGCTTTTTTAAACTAGAAAAAGACAATATTAAGAACATCCAGAATACCTGGGCAATGCCTCCTGATGGTCAAGAATAGGAGCCCTTCATTTGGCAGCACATATCAACTTTGTGAATAGCCTTCGAGTGTCATCCTATGGGTGTTTGGAAAGAAAAAAGTTGTACAACTCCCAGCAAAAGTTCTAGGGCTTCTTAAGTCTAATCATGCATAAGTTTGTGTCTGTGGGCTCCGTTGCAGTCTGTAAAATCCTCCTTACAGTGTGAACGTAATGCATGCTTTCTCAGCCTAGTGAGAAAGGTTGTTGGAGTTGCCCTCCTCAACTCTCAGCTTTCTTGACCATTGGCCATGTTGTCTGGGGTTGATGGGAGTCATGGTCTGAAAGAACTGTAGAGCAGATTGGTGTCAGCTGGTGTAAAGGCCACTGTTAATATTGCATGTCAAGTACGTCAAACATTCTAAACCATTATGCAAAGATTATTATAATTTTGCATTCTTATTTTCCCTTGTCTCTTTCAGCTCTGTATTATACAGAGGGAACCATTTTGAATATGCAGGCCTCTACAGAAAAAAGAACATTTGCAAGAATCCATGCTCTTTCATTCCACTTCTAGTTACACATCTGCTGCTCGACAGAGATGGCTCGTGATGCCAGATCTTCACGATTAGTTAAAAAAGAGGAGATAAGCAAAAAGAAAGTGAGCCCAGTCAAAAAGAAGTCTTGCCAAGTAACAAAAGATGCCAAGAAAACTTCCCCAAAGGCAGAATGTTCTGCAAACTGCAAAAAGTTAATGGAAGGAAAGAACGATGGCAAGAAAAAGCCACAAGAACGGAAAACACTGCTGAGCCCATCTTGCCGATTTCTCAGGAGCAGTGTCACCAAAGCCTTCTCTGGAACATCTTGGATGAATCTGGAATTATCTGATAATGTTCTTTTTCATAACCAGCCTCAGTTGAACTGCAATGGCTTTACCATGACTCTTCGCAGGAAACCATTTTCCCATAGGCTGTTCCAAATGTCGGCAATTTCAAGAGCCAAGAAAGTTGTCCCAGTGAAAAATACAGGGAAAAGAGAGAAGTCTGAACTGGGAGCCTCCTGTGGATTAGGAAAAAAAGCTAGAGAGACTGCAAGAGCTTTCAAACAGGATTTAAACCAGAGTTGTGAGTTAACTTCTCCGAAAGGAGACAGCACTGCATGTGTTATAGAAGGAAGTCACTCTGAATGCAATGGCCAAGCCAAAAAAGAGTTGTGTCCTGAAAAAAGCATTTCTGCTTCTGATTTTGACATACCAGATAGCCATAATTTGGAAGTGTTAAATGAGGAATGCAAGTGTAAACTAATTGTAACTGATGATCAGGCCTTAGTTGAGAGTGATTTCTCTACTCATACCTCAAATGAAAACTTGACTGAGCCAGCTCCACGCTCTTTACAACTTGATTCTGCTATTGCGTTAAAGGCACATGACAACAAATTGGGAACAATTGTGAAACCACACTTGAAGAATAGTCTAGATCTGCCTCCTGTGCCCGAGGAACATCCTGATTCCACACTGAGTCTTTCCTCTGGAGCAAATTCAAAGGTACTTGTGGAAAGGCCACAGTCTCCCACAGAATCTCACTCCAAAACTGGCTGTGGTTTGGTGCTAACTAATTGTGAACCTGATGCTGCCATTTTGATTACCTCCGAATTAATTTCAAAACTGCATTTAGATGATCCATGTGCATTACCACAGCCCCATCTCAAACAAGATCCTGTTCCTGCCATTCAAGAAAAACCTACTTCCACCTGCATCTCTGAATCAGAGGGTTGTTCAAAAGATCCAGCCCTTTCTGTGAATTCTCATTTCCCAAAGGACTTGGAACAGGAGCCAAGCTCTAAAGCACTTGATTCATATTTCAGCTCCAAACAAAATGATCCTGCAGGTGACCAAACAAATGAAGTAGCAGTTTTCGAACAAGTTTCTAATACCTCTCTGACAAGTTTTATCTTAGAGGATCTTGAGTGGACACTTGAAAGGATCGCTGCAGAAACACTTACCGCAGATTCAGCTACTGTGCCTCTTATGTTGCTTGAGTCAGAAAAAAATGCAGCCAATTCAATCTCAGCAAATGGGAGCAGTGAAGTCTTTGAGGAAAATATTCCCAACTCCTCTGAAGATGCTAATTCAGGGTTGCCTTCAGACACTGCAGGGGTTCCAGGTACAAGGGCAGTTGAGCCAGATGAATGTGTTCCAAAGCCTCAGGATCACTTGCCGCTTCTGGGAAGTGATGGAAAAGACATAAACTCTGTTCAGTGCACCAGGAACTATGATGCTAATCCAGTTACAGCTTCAGAGCCATCCTCCTGTGGAAATCCAACTGGTGGTCCTCCTGTATCACTTGCCTCTTCGCAACCTGTGCTCGAAAAGAAGAAGCGCAGGCGATGTGGAGTTTGTGAGCCATGCCTGCGAAAGACTAACTGTGAAGAATGCAGCTGTTGCAGAAAACGCAAAACAAGTCATAGGATATGTAAAAAGAGAAAGTGTGAGGAACTGAAGAAGCCTCCACTCGCACTTCCCCCTGTAATTTTATCTTTAGAGGTAAGCAACGTAATATTTGAATTCATGTTTAAATATAGTGTTTCTAAAAGTTGGTGTATTGCAGTTGACAAAATGTTCCTATGTAACTTGGTTTAAATGTTGGAAATAACTTGCACGCTTTAAAAATGATACTGTTCTGCTATATGAACACCACCTGATGCACTGTTAAGTCTATTGAACTAAATCCAGTCATATTTATTTCCATGTAAATATCCAAATGATCTAGATGTCCAGAAAACAAGTAGTTGCAGATTCCTTCATGTATGGAACCAACATTAGTTCTTACAGCAAAAACTAGAAAATAAATACAATGAAGAAATGATGGCCTTATTTCTCTTCACCACCACCACCACCATCATCCTCATCATCCAAACACTGTAATTGGTTTTTTATTTATGTATTTATTTTTGCAGGTAGTTAGCATTCAATTCTTTCTTGTACTGATTGAACTGATTGCTGACTTTGTTTCAAGACAATAATACAGTTCGAATACAGAGTGAATTCAGAAACCACATTTATCACTAATAATTTAAAGGTGGATTCTTGTACATTTCTCTTTTAATATACCTAGATTTTGTCTGTTTGTAAATGTAATGTGTAACCTTTCAGAACTGATGAAAGTTCAGGGGGATGATGTAGAATCACCATTATCCTACTTTTCTAGTAGAATGAATACTAGAGATAAATTAAGTTTTTCTTCTTGTTGCTTTAATCTGCAGTTTCTTCTGTGAATGGAAAAATTGTCTTTTTAAAGCTTTAAGATTATTCCCATACTTGGTAATCTTGATTTGTTATTTATTAGTTGCCTGTTAACTTGTCCCTTCTGTAATATACAACGATTTAGTCATCAAAATTTAAAACACAATTCTGGTAATCTAGGAAAATATCAGATCAGCTACCTTGTTGGTGCAAAATTAGAAATACATGAAAAAGGCCATAATAAGGGTAGTAACATTTGGCCACCTAATCAGAAGGAAGGACTCACTGGAGAAGACCCTAATGTTGGGAACGTTGGGAACAATAGATGACAAAAGAAGGAGGGGACGGCAGAGAATGAGGTGGCTGGATGGAGTCACTGAGGCAGTTGGTGTGAGCTTAAGTGGACTCTGGGGGATGGTGGAGGACAGGAAGGCCTGGAGGAATGTTGTCCATGGGGTCGCAATGGGTCGGGCATGACTTCGCGAATAACATGACAGTGTGATTTCTTGTACTTGTTTTCCAATAAAGAACTATATGACATTTCCTTGGGAGATACTGTAGTAGCAATATCTCCATTGAGACAGGAGGAGTTAACTTTAGCTTCTTTTTGGTTATGGGATTTTATAATTTGAGTTTGCAGTCTCTTTTAAGCCTCTTATCTAAGGTTTGTCTGGTAGGGATTCAGCCTGATTTCTGTCTCAGATCTAGCCAGAGGATGGAGCTGTAGGAAAACCAGCCAGGCTAACTAATATGAACTTAGCCCCAACTGGGATAGTTTAGAGGTGGATTACAGTTGTTTCTTTTTAATCAGATATTTTAATTTCATCTTTGTGATCTGATATTCTACCAGATTCCACTGGATGATGAATAGCATTCCTTAGAAATTGCCTGCTCTTCATGATATGTTCTTGTACATTGGGAGGGTGTTTAGAAAAAGAAGAGAAAAAGTCAGTGAAGTGTTGGCTCTATTATAAGATACTATATGCCTGCAAGCTTCCTTGAATTGTTTATACAGCATACAATGGGATGTGACAGTGCCTGTATAGTACTATTAAATTATGTCCATCTTAACTGATTTGGTGGATTTTGCTATCCAGTTTGGGAAAACTTTGATCAATTTGATTATTTCTTGCATCTGTGAGCAAGAGGATTAAGGATAGTTTGGCAATAGTGTGTTGTTGCTGTCCATGGGATTTTCATGGCAAGGATACTGGAGTGGGTTGCCATTTCCTTCTCCAGTGGATCACGTTTTGTCAGAGCTCTCTGCTATGACTGTCCATCTTGGGTGGCCCTGCATGGCATAGCTCATAGCTTCATAGCTACACAAGCCCCTTCCCCACGACAAGGCAGTGATCCATGAAGGGGAACACTGTGTTAAGTTAAAGTAAATATAGGTTATGAGGTGTTCATTTCCCTTGACACAGCATTAAGGTGCAACTGAAAATGTCATGTTTCTTTGATATTTTGTGCAGCCTGGCTATTAGGAATATTGCAGGGTAAAGATATTTCAGATTGAACTTGCCAGAACTGTAAAGACTGGCATGGAAAAGAAAAGAATAAGCATTACTAGAAAAATGGAGTTACTTTGGAAGCTTATTATGTGAGTGTTGTAGCTGATTTGCATGTTTCTATATACAGGCAATGTTACTCTCACCTTCCACACAAAACCCATTCATTGATATAGTAATTTCAGGTGGCCATATATTACAGTTCTTCCTGGGTGTTATTTTTGCCCTTATTTGTATAAGCTTATGGCTGCATCCAGATGTTCTTCCAAACTATGATTTGTAGCATATTAAGTGAATGAGTGTTCTGCATGCATCTTCCTTCTCTTTATCATAGAACTTAATTCCATGCTTCCTGTTTGAATCAAACCACACTTTGACTTATTCTGATGCCCAGATCAGCAAAGTGCTGTTTGAATTATTCCTCCAAGCCTGAATTACAAACCAGAATGTTGTGAAACCTACCATGGTTAATCATATTGACTCCGACTCTATCTGCAGCATAGGTCATACCCTTTGAAACTAGGCTGTAAACCAGATTGGAAAGAATCCACATAAATTCATATAAAGTAAGAAACATGGAGCTGATTTGCCATCAGGAGTTCATGTTGTTTACTCAGAAAAAGCAGAATTAATCATCTGAGAAGAATCAAGTAAAATTTATATCTCAGGATAAAATCAAGTAAAATTTATATCTCACAATAATGAGAGAAGCTAATCTCCTTTAAAAGGGTTAGCAACCCAGTCCCCCTAACTTCACCCTGTCCAGTATTATGAGCCTGTATGGACAAGGATCAAAAACATATGTGATTGGCCTTGCGTCTCATAAGAATATTGTCCTGCATCTGTAGGATATTAATTTACTATCTCATATCTAATTTATTTGGGATTTAAGTTCCATTGAATCAGTGAGACTAAACTCTCCAAATACGTTTTTAGGGTTGAGGTGCCAGACAGCAACACCTCTACCTTTTTTTGAGAATCATCCTTTTTGTCTGTTTTAATTTGTACACCAGCCCCTCAAAATGTTTTTTCTGGTCTATAAACATTTCTCTCCCTTCTGGTATTGCACATCTTGTATACAAACAACATTCAACATTTAACTGCCTCCATCAGCCTGCGGCAAATAAGAGTAGCAGTCTCAGTGGACAAATGAACCATTTCCTTGGTTCATTTATAAGGCCAGGAATTAAATAGCATACACTTCCAGTGAAGTTTGTAAGACATCAACATCGCACTCAAAGCTTGGCACACTGCAATTTTGGGAAAAGGCTTTTGAACTTGACCTAGAAACAATATTTATTTATCGCTTGTTAAATCCTGGCAGTTTATTGAGCACAAGTCACAAAATACAGCAATTTCTGCCTATTATGGTTGAATTAAGGCAATTAATGCTTCAGAGCAGACATTGCATGCACTGTGTTTCTCTTGCATATCTTAGGTTGCTATGCATTCATTTTGTGTTAAATGGAGAGTACACCCAGAAGCAACTTGCAGTCCAACAACATTGGGAAAGGAGTTGCCCATCCCTGCCCATCAGAGAATTTCTACAGATGGTTAACAAACTAAGACATCAGCTGTGCAATCCTGTGTTTGTCTACTTAGAAGTAAGTCCCACTCAGTTCAGTGGAATTTATTCCCAGGTATACATGGGCAGGATTGCAACATAACACATTTATCAGATGGCTTCTCAGATGCAAGCATCTGGACACTCGATACAGCTGCAGTGTTGCAGGGACTTGACATTCAGGAAAGAGGTGGGGCGAAGAGCTGAGGAGAATGAGAGCGCATTGAATGAGAGCGCTGCTGAGAAGAGCAGCATGAATGGCAGAGGAGGGCTGCTGAAGGAGCAAGCAAGAGCACTGCAGGAGAACCATTGATGGGGGAGGCATGTTTGACCCTGAGCCTCAGTCCTGGGGAGAATAATGGCTACAACAAGGCAGCTGTGCCTTTAGCACACACGCACTCTTAGCTATTTTCATGATTGCAGGCTGCACTTCTTTTCTAAACAGATCAATGCATTCACATGTGTTTAATTGAGTTTTAGAGGAAAAGATGAAGGGTTTGAAACCAGGATAATCGTTGGACCACAGCTGTAGCTGCTATATATATTTGCTGCATTCAACATATGTGAATACCACTTTGAGAATTACTGCTTTGGATGGTTATATTTTGTATGTTAGAATGAGCATTGTTATTTTAACCTACCTGTGCAGTTGCCGAGTCCTTGTAAAAGACTGTGCTTTGAAGTTTGCTCCAGAACTTATATTATTTGTCCTTCTTGGCAGTAACATTGATTTGACAGATAACCACTGAGGGGAAAAAACACAATGAAACTGGTGAAAACAAACCACATGAGGCATTGGTTTCTCCCTGTTCGGCACCAGTTAGGCACTATCTAAAGTACTGTGTCTAGTTTTGGGCGACAAACTTCTGAAAGGATGTAGACAAGCTGGAGGGGATTCAGGCAAGGATCATTAGGGGTCTGGAAACAAAGCCATGTGGAAGAAAGAACTGAGCATTCCTAGCCTGGAGAATAGGACTGAAAGGAGATATGATAGCACTTTTCAAATACTTGAAAGGCTGCCACACAGAGGAAGGCCAGGATCTTTTCTCAGTCATGCTAGAATGCAGGACATGGAATAATGGGCTCAAGTTACAGGAAGCCAAATTCCAGCTAGACAACAGGAAAAACTTCCTGACTGTTAAAATAGTATAGCCATGGGACAAATTACCCAAGGAGTTTGTGGGGTCTCGCATATTGGAGGTGCTGCAGTTGAACAGCCATCTTTCAGA